CACACTGCTTCACGACCCAGAATCCTCACGACACAGAATCTTCACGAGCCAGAATTACGTCGCGCTTTGCTTCACGACCCAGAATCGTCACGACACAGAATTTTCACGAGCCAGAATCGTCACGACCCAGAATCCTCACGACCCAGAATCCTCACGAGCCAGAATCTTCACGAGCCAGAATTTCGGGGTGCTCTGCTTCACCACCCAGAATTGTCACGACCCAGAATCTTCATGAGCCAGAATATGCAATTCTGGCTCGTGAAGATTCTGGGTCGTGACAATTCTGGGTGATGAATACACCCCTCCGGTCTCACCCTACTCCACCCGCGTACTCCACGGTCCACAGCGAGACCGAAATAGACCACTCACAGTTGTATTTTTTTTTCTGTGCTTCACCTCGCTGTAATGATTGTGCTTCGACTTGCGGCACAAAATGTGCGACACGACGTGGACGACGGCGGGGCGGCGCGTCGGGGTGCGGCTGGAAGCCCGTGTATGGCTGCGCGCGGCCGCCCGCCGCGTCCCCCGCCGCGCTGCTGTTCTGTCGGCCACTATGAAATATTCAGCGACCCAATCGACCGTCCGACACTGCGCGGAACAACCCCCGGGCCAGGCCGGCAGGCCCACTGCCTGTGCCCCGGGCGGGGCCGCGGACCGGGACAAGCACGTGGCGTGCGGGCCGCCGGGCCCCGGCACATCCGGCACATCACACCCACACTGTTCAACTGTCATGCACAAGTAAGCGATGAACACCATACCATGTTTTACCGGACAATGTTTACACTTCTTGTTTAAGTGCTTTCATTCTGATTTGAAAGTTGCACACTTGGAATAGTTCAGTGCAAGCTCTTGATTGGACTTGACTACTGTGGGGTAGTATGCAGGAAACTGTCGATAGTTCAACATCCATAAATTCAAATTTACTGTTAAATATTTGTAAGACATGGTAACACTTGCACGCTCTTGTGTGAGTAGAACGCTTGAGATGTCAGTGCACGGATTCGGCTCGCTCGCGTGATGTGCCGCCTCAAACACCTTGCACCCACACTCTCCCTCGCGCGCCCTCTCTTTCTCTGGCCTGTCGCCTCCTCTCTCTCTCTCTCTCTCTCTCTCTCTCTCTCTCTCTCTCTCTCTCTCTCTCTCTCT